AAGAAGCTGAGGCAGGAGAATTGCTGCAAGCTCAGGGCCAGTCTGAGTTATAGTGAGAGACTCCCTCAAAAAAAGGAAAAAAAACAAAGCAAAACAAACAAACCGAGCATGGTGACGGACTACTGTAATCCCAGCACCCTAGAAGGCTGAGGCAGGAGCATAGCAAATTTAGCGACTTAGCAAGAACCTGTCTCAAAATGTAAAAAATTGAAAAATAGCCCGTGCAGCCCAAAGCACAGGAAAGTCCTCCCGGATTGTTACTGCTGGGGTCTGCAGCACACAGAGCCTCCTCCAGGCCGGGCCTGAGCCCCCAGACACACCCCAGCCCCCAGACGCAGGGACTGAGCTCAGGGCTTCACAGGCTGAGCCAGAGCCTCACTAATGAGCAGCACCCCGGCCTTCCCCTCTCTCATAGCCTGATGGACTGCTGGTCACTGGGGCTTGGGCCTCCGAGACCGTTTGTCTTCTAGGGTGCAGTCCAGTGGAAGAGCAGGTGTGAGGCTCCTGGGTTCCATTCTCAGCAGCCCCAACCCCCCCAAAAAGTTCTTTTAACTCACAACTTCTATCCTTTTGTTTTGTTTTGAGACAGTGTCTTGATATGTGTTCCAGGCTGGCCTCACACTTGCAGCGATCCTCCTGCCTCAGCCTCCCAAGTGCTAAGATTACAGGCTTGCACAGTACACAGGTTACTTCTATCCTTTTCTACAATCGGCAGAGAACGAATGGATCCCCTGCCCTGCTCAGGGGGACCTGATTTTTCTTTCTCTTATGCACCCCCGCTCCTTGGCTCTCCCCAGTGCTGGGGAAGACAGGGGGGGCCCCAGGGCCTGCAGGGGAGCTCCGCCCCTGCCGCACCCCTGCTTTCTCACGTTCACCATCGCTGCCTAGGCGGGGGTGGGGACCGAGACTGGGACGGGGTCAGCCAGCCCTGCGACTGTGGTGCTCGGGGTGGGGACGACCGGAGAAGGTTCCAGGCTGAGGGGAGGCGACGGCACAGCCTGTCGGGAGACCAGAGACGGAAAAAGAAGCCACGCTCTCGGTGGGGCGGGATGGGCCAGGGAGGTCAGCGGGCCAGGGACCCAGGACAGGACGGGGTTCACGAGCTCAGAGCCGCTCCCAGCAAGGCCAGGCTGCCTCCCCCTGCAGCGGCCCGCGCGTCCCCGGGAGGCGCCCGGAGCCACCGGGGAGCTCGCGCCGCCGGGGGCGGGGTGCGGCGGGCCGGGGCGCAGGGGGGGTCCCGGCCTTGTCTTGTAAATGCCCCCTCCAGGCAGGGCGGCTGCTGAGCCGATTTAAACCCCCGCACCTGGGCCCGCCTCCGTTCCTGAGCTGCTTCCCGCGGCCGGAGGCGACCCCGGCCGCCTTCCCTCGTGTCATGGCCCCCAAGCGCCAGGCCGCGCTCACCCCGCCGACCAAGAAGGCCCGACCGCCTCCGGGCCCCAAATCCGAGGCAGCGTCGGCCGCGCCGGGCCTGCCCAAGGGAGGTGAGTGCTGGCGCCGCGTGTTATTGGAGATCTAAGGATTCCCAAGGGTTGACTTTGTGGTTCCTCACCCCCCATCTGCGACCCAAGCTCCCCTTAGTGGTTTGAAGGCTGGGGTGGGTGGACAGGATGATGGGACGACAGACACAGGAAGACTGGGTCCCCCAGCTCCCTCGGGGGGCTCTTCGGTTTGTCTGTGTGTGTTCTGAGACAGAGTCACTCTACGTAGGGTAGGCTGGCCTCGAACTCATGGCGCCCCTCCTGCCTCAGCCTCCTGAGTGCAGGGATTACAGGCGTGCGCCACCATAGCCCTCTTTGGGGCTCTCAGTCTTGGCCAGTGGCCCCCCCAGGGAGCCTGAGGCCTCCCCCCAGCTCTCTCCGCCTTCTAGCTTCCCGAGCCTTCGGGGGCGTCTGCCTCTCGGAACGCCCTCCCGCTTTTTTGCTGCCGCTCGCGCAGGCCCACAGCTCCGGCCTGAACTGCAGCCTCCTGCTCCTCCGCTCCAGGCCTCTTCCTCTCCGCCCGAGCCGAGGCAGTCACGTGACTGGCTCCGGGGTTCCATCTCCCCGTCGGCCTCCAGGTGTGGACTGGGACTTCCGGGCTCAGCTCTCCCGCGCCCTGCAGGCCTCCGCGGCTCCAGCTCCTCTGAAGCCTCCCTAGAGGGACCTCTGAAGGTCCCTCCAGGACCTCCCCCTACCTCCACCACCAGGGGGCTCTCTCCCGCTCGGGCGGGGGCGGGGGGAACGCCTTTTCTTTCAGCGCGGGGGATTGAACCAGGGCCTTCACCCTGAACTACATTCCTACCCCTTTTTTTTAATTGCTTTGAACCGAGAATCAAACTCAGGACCTTGCACTTCCCAGGCAGGCACCAATGCCGCTGAGCTACACCCCCGGCCCCACTAATCTGTTTTTCCTTTTTTTTTGAAACAAGAGTCTCACTGTGTAGCCTAGGTTGGCCTCAAAGTCTTCAGTGATCCTCCTGCCTCAGCCTTCTGAGTGCTGGGATCACAGGTGTAGAGTACCACTCTGCCCTTTTTAGTCTATTTTTTATGTATTTATTTATTTTGTTTTTTTTGAGACAGGGTCTCACTATGCAGTTCAGGCTGGTTTTGAGCTCACTTTGTAGCTCAGGCTGGTCCTGAACACACAACGATCCTCCTGCCTCAGCCTCCGGAGTGCTGGGATTACAGGCTTGCGCCACCACGCCCGGCTTTAGTCTGTTTTGCAATTGTATTTGTTTTTTCTTGTTCAACTGGGAACTGAACCCAGAGCCTTCGCACTGAGCTACATCCCTAGCACTTTTAATTTTTAATTTTGAGACAGGGTCTCATAAGTTGCTCAACCAGGCATCAAACTTATGATCCTCCTACCTCAGCCTCCTGAGAAGTTGAAATTTCAAGTGTACCTCACTACATCTGACTGAAAAGTCTGTTTTTTTTGTGACAGGGTCTACCCTATGTAGTTCAGGCTGGCCTCAACCCGCTTTGATCCTCCTGCCTCAGCTTCCCAAGTGCAAGGATTGCAGATGTGCACCACCATGCTGGGCTCCCAGAGTCACTTTTGCAGACTTTGGCCTCTGAGCCTCGGCCCCTTTGCGGAGGAGCCCACTCTGCCCTGGCAGCATTCAGAGCTACCCTGTCCTGGTCTTCTGAGTCTGCAGGCGGCAATGGCAGTTTTGTGTCTGGCGCACTCCCTACATGCCAACTGCTTGAGCTTGGAGGGCTGTTTCTCAGTTTGGATGGGGACACAAAGCTGGTTGTCCTGGCAGGCCCTCTGACAATGGAGATGTGACCGGGCCTCCTCAGATGAGCCTTGGCTAGGTACAAGGCGGGCACTGGCCTAGGGGTCCTCAGGGCCGCACAACTACGGGCGTGCGCTCTTCCTCGGCTTCTCTGGTCCCTTGCCTCCCACGGGGAAGCGCGCGCGTCCTGTGCTCGTGGTTTTGTGGTGCACTGCCAGGGTGTGGGACCCACCTTGCTCGTTTCCCCGTTTATTTTTCGGTGGTACCGGGGACTGGACTCGGGGCCTGGTGCATACCTGGCAAGTACTCTACCACCGAGCCACATCCCCAGCCCCTCCCCCGGCCCCCTTTTTTAAAATCGGGAATGGAACTCAGGACCTTGTGCTTGCCAGGCAGGCGCGGTGCTGCGGGACTACACACGTCCCCGCCTCCCCCTCCCTCCTTTAAAATGGGTCAGCAGTTCCTACGCCTCACACTTGCTGAGCCTTGACCCTAAGTGAAAGCACTGTGACCGCCACTGGCACACTCTGCGTCCTTCGGGATGGGCAAGGAATTCAGCGGAATGTGGGTGCGCCCTCCTGTCTCCTTCCGCTTGGCTTCCTGGGAGAAACCGCCGGAGCAGAATGGGCGGAGGGTGCAGCCACGGGCTCCCCAGGGCTCCCCGCCGAGTTCTCCATGGTTAGGACAGCAGCATGGGTGAGGTCTCCATTTTACAGATCAGAAAAAGGCTCACAGAGGTGTGGGGACGGCATTCAAGGCACCTCTGAGCTGGCTTCGGGGTTTTCTCGTCAAGGAAGACAGGAAGTGGGAGAGGGAGTGACTAGGAGGCCTGGAGAGACTGCAGAGCTGCCAGGAGGGACAGGGGCAGCGCCCCCAGGCTCGGAGGGCACAGAACCCCTCCTTGTTTCCTGGAACTCCGGCCCCTTTGCTTTCTCTTTCTCTTCCACCTCCAGCGCTGTCGCCTTGAGAAGGAAGTGCCGCGGGGCGGAGCAGGGCGGGACTAGGGGCTGGGGTTCTGGGCTTGGGGTGGGGTATCGAAGGGTCCCCTGCCCCGGTGGATGCCCCCCTGTGCCTGCTCGGGAAGCGGGTGGATCAGGTTTCAGGTACCAACCTGTGAAGCGGGCTTTGCGGATGAATATAGCAGCAGTAATTTTCAGACTAAGTCTGATCCCAGTCTTTCATTTTTTTGGAATGTCCTTTTTTTTTTTTGGTACCGGGAATTGAACTCACGACCTCATGCTTGTGAGGCAGGCGCTGTGCCACTGAGTCGCTGAGCTTCATGCCCAGCAGTTTTGCATTTTTTTTTTTAAGTAGGAAATTAGAGTCACACCTCCCCCTTAGTGAGGGTACTGTTTTATGTGTAGATGTGTACCAGCCCACGTGTCAAATGTATGCCATATATGTATTTTTCTTCTTTGAGTCAAGGTCTCCCTGTGTAGCCTAGGCTGGCCTTGAACTCATAGCCATCCGCCGGCCTCAACCTCCTGAGTGCTGCTGGGGTTACAGCTGTATACCAGCCCATCCTGCTAAATGTATGCGGTATTTTTTTTTTTTTTCCCGGTACCGGGAATCGAACTCATGACCTCGCACTTGCCAGGCAGGCGCTGTGCTGCTGAGTTAAATCCCCAGCCCCTTGTATGCAGTATTGTAGGTCACATTTTTTTTTCTTTTAAAAAGAGAGGCTAACAGTGTGCCTCAGTAGTAGAGAGCTTGCCTAGCACGCAGGAGGCCCTGGGCTCAATCTCTAGCACTGCAAAATAAATAAGTAAATAGATACAGAAAAGACGCCTGTGATCCCAGGACTTGGAAGGCTGAGGCAGGAGGATTGCTGAGAGTTCAAGGCTAGCCTGAGCGATATAACCAGACCCTATCTCAAAAAAAAGATAAATAGCAAATCACTGCTTTCGGCAGCGGCTTTGTCAGCTGCCAGCCTTCTTTAGCATACTGGTTCTGCCATTTGTAGAAAAGTTAAGTTCGGCGCTAGCGATGAAGTGAGATGAAAGACACTGAAACTCAACTGCCTTTTGCAAGGATTAAGCGAGGAGTGCCCGTGGTTACCACAGCCTGCCGCCCGCATGCCCGCTGTGATCAGCAGTGTGGCAGAGCAGAGGCTGCGAGAGCTGCCGTTGGGTTGGGGGACAGCACAGCAGTAGCCCAGTAAACATCACCGAAATGCTACAACGGGGGTTTTGTTTATTCCCCTAGCCCCCGAAGTACTTGTCTTTTTTTTTTTCCGGTACCGGGAATCGAACTCACGACCTCGAGCTTGCCAGGCAGGCTTTGTGCCGCTGAGCTAAATCCCCAGCCCCCTTGTCAAACATTTAACCAGCTCATGCTAATAATTCTTGAGAAAAGCCTGTCCAGTTGACAGAGATAAGAACCGGGCTACACTCAACTGAGTTTATGGGTTTTTTTTTTTTTTTTTTGTCTTTTTGAGACAGGGTCTCGCTATGCAGTTCAGGCTGGGTTGAGCTCACTTTGTAGCCCTGGCTGGTCTCGAACTCGCACTGATCCTCCTGCCTCAGCCTCCCGAGTGCTGGGATGACAGGCGTGCGCCACCACGCCCGGCCTCAACTGAGATTAAGGTTTAGAGGGAAGGAAGAGATGAATTTCTGGGTTCGGAGACCTGTGAGAAGACCTTTGTATTCTCTAAGCATGAACTGTGAGCCATTTACTTCACATGGGTCGATCACCGCCACTGTCTGCCTTGAACATTAAAGGCGCTGGTTGAGCTTCACGCGCCCATCGTACAACTTGAATGCAGGCAGGCAAATAACCCGGCCCAAGCGCTGGTTACGGGAACCCGGGGGAGATGGAGCTTAGCTCTGGAGGACAGAGTAGGGCCTGGCACATCTCCATTTCCTGGAAAGCATTATCTAAGCCGATGCCCTGGCCCCACTCGGAGTTGCAGGGCTCGGCTTCTGAGGCACGCCTCGAAATCGCCAATTCCCCGGGCTCCGAACCCAGCGCCACGTGCATCCCCAGAGCGCTGTGCGACCGCGGGCGACGCGGGGACCCAGACTGCCGGGCGCTCGGGTTGCTTTTTTTTTTTTTTTTTGTACCGGGAGTCGAACTCAGGACCTTGGCTTGCCAGGCAGGCGCTGCGCGGCCGAGCTCCATCCCCGGCCCTCCGGGTTGCTTTCTGCGAGCCGTCGCCCCGAGTGGGGCCCAAGGACCTGCGGGTGGGCGTGGTCCCGCCTGCCTGCAGGGGACTTCCACTTCGGGAGGACTTGTTGGAGCACGACAGCGCCCTTAATTGCCCAACAGAGGCGGGCCCACCGGGGAAAGGTGACCTGCCCCAGGTTCCCCCGCCGCCGCCCGAGCGGGACCGCGCTACAGCCGGCCCTGGAGCCCGCGCCGGGCGCGCGTCGTCGGGCTCTGCAGAGCAGCCTCAGGCTGCGCGCGGACGGCGGCTTCCCGGTCCGGAAGAGAATGGCAGAGCCGTCGTCTTTCTCCCGCGAAGAGGGAGGCGCCCGGATGCAAGGGCGGGCGACTGAGGCCTGCACTGTTGGGGGGCTACGAGCACCCTTCTCGTGCTCCGCACGCAGCCCGGCGGAGAAGGGAAGCCGCGCCGCCACCACGTGACGTGCGAGCGGCGTGGGGGGGCCGTGCGCTGCCGTGCGGGGCCCCGCCCCCCGGCCGCCGCGCGCC